CGGGAATCTCCGCGGTTTCCTCGCACTCTAGCGAGGAAACAGCAGCAGCGACCTCGCGAGCTTCCGCGCCCCGAGGATACAGTGATTCTCGAAGTGCGAATTACCTCCCGCCGCGGCCATCGGAAACGCGAATATTACGTCAAATGGCCGGGCACACGCGATCCCGAGTGGGTTTCGGAGGATCGCTTACGGGAGGCGATCCCCCCTAAACAGCTCAGTGCTCTCCTGGACCTCGCATCGACTACACCTAGTGTGCGCATGCAGGCACGAGGCGGGGGTGGGTGTTAGGTGGCTCATTGATAGCGGATCCCTAGGCGGATCCCTGCAATTTATTCTACTTTTCTTCCTCGATGCCCCCGGAGGCTATTTACGTTGCCTCCTTACTCAGATCTTCTCCCTTACACACGACGCGCTAGGTGGCGGGAGGGCGCTGCCGACCAGCAGTACCTCGCCCATTGGGGCTGGGCACCACCTTTGGGGCTTTGCTGCGGCTTTCTCGGGCGCCCCATCGGCGGCGACCCGGCGCAGCGGGACGGGCGGTCACAACTACATTGGTGCTGGATGACTTGCAATCAAGCATCCAGACACCTGAAAGCAGCCTTTTTCTCATTTTTTTGCCCAGCGGCAGCGCCGGGAGCGGCGTCAGGTGCCACTCTAGCTAGCCACCAGCTGTGGCCCTGGTCGGGCCGACATCGTAGCAGTTTCGCTGCTTTCGTCCAGGCTTTTCTCTCTTTTGACTTTTCCTCTGCCTCTATTTGCCGTTCCTGTTGCAGGCCAGCTTATTCAGGCGGTGCCGAGGCACCATCGCAGCAGCGAGACGGCCGCCGCATCATGACTCGCCGTCTGAGTCAGATGCGGCGACTCACAAGCTGCTTCCCCTCACCCTTTCTCTCTGCCTTGACATCTGTACATAGTCGACTTTTTTCCGCCAGTTTTCCCTTGTTTCATCGCAGGAACGGGCACCGGTGTGGAGAACAGCAGCGACAGCAGCAGCGGCAGCAGCACCGGCAGCAGCAGCAGCAACAGCAGCAATCCATCAAGTTCAACATGACCATCTGCGCACGAGGACGTGCGCGTTTTGCTGATGGGGGGGCGGATGTAACATGAGTTAGCGCAGAGTTAGCTCAGGAGCCTATCGACGGCTTTGGCATGTTGCGCGTAAGTGCCTGCAAACGTTACACAAGTTCGTTACGAGGCAAAGCATGCAGCAAAGGAAGCTTCCCTGAAGCTTCCTTTATTGCACGCGTGGGGCTGGCTTGCTCTGCCAGCCGCAGCGGGGTACGGCGGAAGCCCATTTGGGGCTGCCTCCCCCCCGCAACACCCAGGCCCTGAGCTCAACGCCCAGGATGCCTAGGTACTGCGGAAGGAGGTCAGCTGT